ACACATGACTTTGTTTTAACACGGATTAACATGTATGCAAAATAGTATCAAGAAATAAATCACTGTATTTTTGCATAAATAGTTTTCATTAGTATACAGCAAAAATGTGAAATTTCACCTCAGTCCCAATATTTTTACTTGTCACTGTATGTTTTTTACCTTGTGCAGAAGAAACAGTGAAAGCATTTGAGTCAAATACTGTGAAAAACTTATGTAAATCATAACAAAACAAAATGTTCCCATTTTCTACTTAATCTTTGTTTTTTATTGTCATAGTCAGACAAAATACTTACAACCCTGAACTATTTGCCTTCACAGTTCAAATAATTATTCTGTCACCAACTGCTGTCATCTTCCTTGGATGATCTGGGCTTTACTAATTGCTTACTGCTTCAGCAGTTTTTATTTTTCAAAATGTTCTGTATCACTGATTTTGCAATGCCCAATCTCTCTGCAATTGAAATTTACTTTGCTCTTATCTTCACGTTTGCTAGCTCTTTCATCACAGACAGCTCTTATCTTCTTATCTCCTGCCTTAACTCAAGGGGTAGATTCAAAAATAAACTCCAAAGCTTGAAAACAAGACTAAATACTCACAGCTCTTCCAAATGTTGCCAAATCATGCAATATTAAACCCCTGAGTTATTAGAAACAGCTGACAGCCAGTAATTGTCCCAGTAATTATGCTCACCTGACTGAAACCAACAAATAACATTGCTCTAACATGGATTAACATGTATACAAAATAATACCTAGAACTACAATTTTGTACTTTTGCTTCACATTAATCTTTTTTCCTTAAAATGTCCACTATTATATGGCAAAAATGCCTAATTTTACCTCACTGTCCCAATATTTTCACAGTATGTTTTTCACCTTGTGCAGAAGAAACAGTGAAGGCATTTGAGTCAAATACTCTGAAACATTTATGTAAATCTGGACAAAATGGTCCCTTTTTCTGCTTCATCTTTGTGAGAGAGTTTTTGGGGGAGTTTTGAATCTACTTATAATATATGCTGTACCTCTTAATTAGAATACATTGCCTTGGCAGCAGTAAGAATACAAGATGGACATGAATTCACGCACATTGTACTGTATTAGTGCAGGACAGTGGAACCTGTTTAAAAGTGTCATTTGTAAAGAGCTTTGGCAGGTGTGACCAGCCCTGAGGTAATCAGGACATTCCAGTAACAGCACATGATGCAGATTTGAGATACAGCAGAATGTACAGCCTGAGTGAAGGGCTGTGGTCACTATCGTAAAATTGACCATTTTTGAAAAGTAGTTTAGAAACAATGACCTGACGGATAAGGTCATGAGGCCATTGTTCCTCTTGTGTAGAAGACCAGCTGGGCTATGATTACTGTAGTTGGGTAGCTGGTTAATTACAGTTTGCTCATGTACAGAGCTCAGGGCACAATCATCCAGACTGCTCTCAGTTCTAAGTCTTGGAACCCTGACACCTGCTGATTTCTATTCCTGATTACCTCTGATGCATATCTGAACTAATCACTTAGCAATATAAACAGTGACACTGTAGTTAAACAAGAGCTTCAGCAGGTGTGACCCTACTGCAGTTCCCACGACATTCCAAAATGAAAGAAAATACCATGAAGACCAGATTACAACGTACTGCTGTGGTGAAGTGGACAGGACCTTCACAGGACTAAACCTCTGGTCGGCTGGTTAGTTACATTATGAGGCTCAAACTGATGTGAAATGCCTTCAAAAATATAAAGTAGCATTTTATACTGCCATCCCTTTTAGTTCCCATTTACTAGAGAGCTGCGACTCTTTCTTGTGTTCTGTGTGCGAGTGAAACAGACTTAAATAGAGTTGTACGGGAGACCGTGTCTGTATCTGGCCTGGAGAAAGCTTGTTTAGCTGCAGTTGTAGAGCACTGGTCTGGTTCTGCTCTGGACACGAGGCCTCTCATATGGGCCTTTGTGCTTTCTCTGCATCTAATTTATTTTCTGATCCAAACAAGCATGATCTGCACAGTCACAACTGTTTCTTTAAGGGGAGAGGTCTGTTGAGACAGACTGGCCAGTTGTCCCAGGTTCGAGAGTATCCACAATCCTTCTGGTGC